CTACCTACATTCGTGAGGATTTGCGCAGACGTGGAGTTTCACCATGCCGTCGGTTCGTTCGGTAAAATCGCCAACATGATCAAGGACGAGCTGTCGCTGAATGGCATGATGTCCACGACGTCGGACAGATTCTGGCGAGCCATTTCGGTCGCCGGAGGCGGTCACCCCTACTCTATGAAGTCTGGAACCTCTTTGGTCCACGCTGTCATGGAAAAGTATTTGTTCAGAGAAAAGATGCTCGCTTCTTGCTTTATGGCACCGGATCCCTTGACCGAAGCGAATAGCCTCCATGATCCCAACTTGGAACACGTGTTGCAGGACAAAGAGAGGTTGTATCAGTACTTGTTCGGAGACTCCGTAAGAGGAAGCCATGCATATCAGTCCACTGCGGGAGCTTCAGGTGAGAACGAGTCTGAGCGGAGGAAGAGGGAGAAGGTAAGGAGAGAGAACAAAATGCCATGGATGGATGAGTACTGGGGAGTCCTTCAGCCAGAACCAATATACTCGAGGACTCAAAGGTGGTACGTCATTGATGACTTCAAGGAGGGTGAGGAGATTTGCTGCGATTACTGTTTGGTCTGCAATCCCATAGACTCCGATTTGAAAGACGATTGCTATGCAGAATGCATCAACGGAGCAGCAAATAGATGCCGTGGGATGTCCGCAGAAGACTACGTCCAGAAGCGATTTCATGCATGTGCTCGATTGCTTCACAACTTCGGCATGGGGCAAACGGTATCTTCTCCCACCGTCATGATCTCCGAGATGAACCCGCACGTAGACTTGATGAAGTTCTTACACGAAGCGATGATCATCTTTAACAGGAACCCAGGTTTCCAGAAGGAGATCTCGTTCTTCGGGGGGATCAGGTTGTCATCAACAATGACGGAGAACTTCTTCAAAACGAGGAGAGGACCCAGCATCCATGTGGAAAAGCAGATAGTCGGCAGCGCCAAGTACTACCAGGGATCCTATGACCTTGGGAACGTGTGCTACACCAAATACCTCAAGACCATATTGGAGCCCGATGTATTCCGCGCTATGTTCGGAGATGATCCCACGGAGGAACGGGTAGGTGATATGGTGGAAGCGCTGCTGGGCATGTTAGAAATTGCCCAACTCTTCAAACACCTGTTCTTGGGATGGGGTGACATTGAGGCTTTGAGGACGGGATTAGAAGAGTCCATCAAGCGCGTCACTGCATCGCTGTACGACAGGACAACGTATGAGAACCGAAAGCGATCGATGATCAGAACATTGGACCCGCACTCTGATGAGGCGGCAAACGTGGCACTGATTCTCGTTCGCATGAGGACCATGCCGCCTCCTGAATTCGACATCGACCACTTCTTCGAAATTGGGAAAGAACCAGAACAGGGAGCAGAGGCTACTGACCAGCCCGAGGCCGAGGGTGTCGATATGGAAACTGAATGTGAACAGGAGAAGGAGGAGCAAGACGTTGACATGTCAGATCCGAAGACATCAATACTGCAAGCCATCGACGAATTCGAGAAGAAGATCGGGCAAGCAGAATTCTGCATCCACTGCATGAAGTCGGGACACACAACTCTCAATTGCGAGAAGATCCCTTCATCTTCACCCACAGTCACCTCAGTGTTGAGTGATTGGAAAAAGAGAGTGAAGGGAGAGGTTGCACCCGACGATGTACCATCCGGACATCCAGCCGAGGAGCCTAAGAAGAAGAAGCAGAGAGCATCGCCTACTCCGGATAGGAAGGTCGACAGCGAGTTCAGGCGAAAAGAAATGTTGAAAGCAAGAGTCGTGACAATGTTTGACCATGACGGGTTCACCTTGATTGAGAGTGCCGATGGAGTCGAAGGAGGGACACATTCCTACAATGGGCGGAAGCTTGCGGAAGTAGGCCCTAGGGATATGAGGGTGGTGTACGAATTTGTAGAGAAGGCATTTGCGCACTCCAGTTCCCTCAAACCAAAGGCATGTCATCAATTCTATCCCCTACCGACACGGAGGGAGAAGGGATACAAGCCGATCGACCCCATGACAATGGTCGGGAAAGTTGAGCTAGTACCGATCAACGGAGTCACTTTCGCTGCACAGAACTCCGACTACGGCAACCACAAGTATCCGACTCCAGACTGTCGAGTACCAGAATACAGCCAAGCGAGCCAGGCCCTGAGTCGTCGATTGGGAGCGAAGTTGAGGCATCGAATTGGACGCCAATTCAGGACAGGAGGAAGACTCACACCAATCAAATGCGATGAGGGCGCATGGGTGTCATGGGAAGACCTGTTAGGTGATAACGCAGTTTGGGAAGACGGTTATCACTATGGCAACATAGACATCGTGACCAAGAAAGCGCGTTTGGAGAAGTACCTCGACCAGAACTATGAGTGTTTCCGCATAACCAAGAGGATCAGATTCCAGATGTTGGCGGTCCGTGTTCACCCTGATGAACTCAATGACCCTGATGACCCGATGGAGAAGGAATGGATTGACGAACTCAAGGGCATGGGAATCTCCAAAGGAAGACTCCACTATAGCGATGGATGGTGCTTTCCCGTGGCCGTAAGAGCAACCTCAGCACACTCATCGGACGGCGGAGGTTACGACGTTACCATCAACATCGACCACATTGGATCGAGAATGACCAACGACATGGCCCTATCCATGGTGACTGCATTTCACGCTACCAATCTTGGAGCGCTGACTTCAATCATGCGACGGGGGCTAGTGCCAGGAGGTCTCGGTTCATCGGGAAGGGATTCTATCCACTTCACATGTTTTCCGCCATGGGCCTGGGAGCAGGGCTACAAGGGAAAACCTTGGCTGGGTCGTAAGGTCGCATTGAGTGATCGCCCAGTGGTTCTCTACATTCCGGTGTGGAAGCTGCAGGAGTACGGGCTTCTCATCTCAGCGACTGGATCTCTATTGGTTGAGGACGTCGTTCCCTTCGATGAGGTTAAAGGGGCATGGTTGCAATGCGACAATGCAGAACCCGGACAGCCTGAGGAGATCGAATGGATCAGGTTACTCAATAGAGAACCCGATCCTGGAAGCTACCTCGTTCTGGAGTCCAAATACGGAAACCCGATCATGACTCCACGCTACCAAAAGCTTGAGAGTTTAGCGGTTGAGGTCCAGGACGATACCTACTCCGAGGACGACGCCAAAATCTCAAAGCTGTTGGGCATGATCGAGGAGAGTGGTATCTACCCAGAATACGATAGCACTGAGTGGCAGGAAATCTTTGAGGAGATCGTATACCGCCGAGCAATGAAAGACTACGACTCAAGACCGTGTCCTAATTGTCTTGGCGAAGTCGATGTGCGATTGACGATATGTCCGCACTGCGTAGCGGTTTTGATCGCGAATGGGAAGCTCACGCATGTGGTACCCAAAGAGACAAGGGACCGCAATCAACGATCACCTCCGAGAGATGTCCCAGCCAGTTCTTCCGGTGAAGCAACTTCTGCTGCAGGTGCAAACATCGATGAAGTCATCAAGAATGCACGTAAGACAGCCGAAGAAGTCATTGACGTCGAGGAATCCGAAGGAGAGGAAGACGAGGAAGTTCCTATCATTTTGAAGGAACGACCGGACGAAGCTGAAGGCGAACCCGAATATCGGGAGGTCCCTCAAGATGGGTACGGGAATGAACTTCCACAGCCTTTCCCCTTCGCAATTGACGAATTGCCGCAAGAAGCTGCGATCCCCATCGACCACAACTTTGCAGTCACACAGCAATTTGATCTGAGGTTGATGAAGTTGATCAAGAGCTTGGCCAACGCGACGTTCGACATCAATTGCTTTGAGAGTCGTGAAGACGTACTGCGAAAGTTCGACGATGGACAACGGCATGATACTCCATACAATAGATGGCCAATAGTACCGAATGATCCGGATACTGGGTTTCCGAGACGCCTTCAGAGAGCCGAGGTCGTAGGCATGAGCAAATGGACCAACGACACGTATGCAACAGAAGCGTGGCAGATCTATGAATTCCACGCCCACGTTATTCACCCGATGATGATCACTGCAATCCGCTGCGGGCTTAGCCACAAGTACCTCAAAGAGGTCGGCAGCGCTCGGCGTAACATGAGTGATCCAAAGGCTCGAAGATCTGAGACCCAGGAAGAGATCATCGAGAAACTGGCATTCATCTCAAATTTCATCAGACGCTTGATAAGGAAGACTTTCGGAGCGAGCCGATATAGTTACTACCAGAAACCAGATGACGAAGGCGCCGCTCCATACAAATTCATCGACATTAGCCCCGCCATCAAATCGGAGCGGAAGAATGTCACAAAGGAGATCCTCGTTGCATGCCGCTACTATGGCATAGAGGTATCCGATACTCAAGCACAGAAATTGAAGTTCTTCGAGGAGCAGATCCGAAGGGGGAACCCAAGGAACGTTGAGCTCATCAAGGACTACATTGGCTTTGTCGGAGCTGACTACATGCGACAACTCACGAATGGTTGAGCATTGGGGTCATACCGACATACTACTTCCGGTACTTCAAGTACTGAGGGATCTTGGGTAATTCATGATGACCGTTTTGGCATCATGGGAGTGAGATAGGATTGTGTTTCATACCGTCGGTAATCGCATGATACCGTAGGTAGGTGCACGTTTTCCGTTTGTGGCCCCATTACCTGTTTGATCCAACTTTCAAGCGGATGCAAGATCGTTTGCTAATTCAATTCAATAGGACATACTGGCTGACCTCCAATGCACTTTTGAGAACATGATTCGTTCTCCGGTTTTTACATCCACTCATCTCCCTTCCCCGTCGAAGTACGGATGTGGGGGGTGTCAATAGGGATGGGGTCCCAGTATAGTCGCTATACAGGTACATGCCATATACTTTTGGCTCAAGTGCCCAACCAGGTAAAAAGGAGCTTTAGCGCGCGAGCTTCATGTCAACCTAAGGGCTAGAACGGGGCCAGGGCACACCTTTCCATCCGTTCGCAATATGGTTGTACTTCAGTACATCCCTCCTACCTTCTCACTGGAAGGCCAAGGAGTCCGCTGCGGAGGCGCTCACCTTGGAGGCGCAGCGGCGGCGCCGAGCAACGAACTGGTCGGATGGGTGGGAGATGTTCATCCGCGTCAGAAGAAAGAGAGACTGTTCCTTGGGAGACCTGGTATACACAGAACATTGCTATCGGTTTAACATAGTTTGCCACGCCAAGGCTGTATGGTAGCAATGTTCCCGTGGCGACATTGCTAAAGCGTGGCAACATTGGCAAAAAATACTTGAGCAAGTAATTATCGGTAAATCATGGTAAATCTGTGCTGGGAATGTTGTTTTCTTAACATTGCTGAAGCAGGAGCTCCAAACAAGCCGCCTCATATGTTGGGTCTCGTAGCAGCCCTAGACACGTCAGAGGAGTTTTTGTTGGGGCATCAAGTCAAGCGGTGGAGGTCCCCCTCCAACTACAGCCGTGAGTAGCAGATGTTCGTTTTGAGCGCGCATGACCGATCCACCCCAGTGCTTCCACAGGCACGGGCCAAGCAATTGAAAGGCAGCGGCGAGGAGCAAGTGGAGGAGAGCCACTTGGACATCAGTCTTTGCTACCAGACCCCTTGAGCACCCTGAGCACCAAAGGACAAACAAGTCCTTAAATGTCCTGAAGATCTAAGACTTAAGGCCTTCTAAAGCCTTTCGAAACATGAAGGCTTCTTGTTGCTCGTGATGGCCACGAGAGCTCACAAGTCTTGGAGTCTCCCGTGATGGCCACGTGGCCTGCCACCGAAGTCGTTTGTGACCAAAAACCAAGTGAATGGCTCCGTCCCATCCAATCAGCTGTCCCAACAAAATGTACCTATAGCTATGCTAAGGTATAGCCAATAGTTCTTTGGTTGGTTGCCTGAGATGGTAGGGGTTGATAGGGCTCACAAATCCATAAAGAGCCCTTTCAATGGTTGGACCTCTGAAATCCCATTACTGAAAACACAATCCGATCTTCACAAACCAAATTTAACAGTATTTTACTTCACCAATAACTCAATCGCCTCTGAGCTGAGGTGAAGTGCGGGCGGTGGAGGCTGCGTTCACGCAGGCAGCGTTCACTTGAGCGGAGGGGCGTTTGTTCTGGGAATTATGTTAGGGCATGAGGTGAGATGCAGGTCCAAAATCAGCACTCAGACAGATACCCGAGACTAACAATCTACAACTACTTTGAACATATGTTGTTAAAACTAAAATGTTTAAACTAAGATTAAACAAGAATGACAAGAACATGTTGGTGCCTATTCTTTTGCATCTTCAGATGGTGTAGCGAACCCCATGACCTGACCATGACCTGGTTCCCTGCCCAGGTGCATCAGACCTGGCGGAAGCGCAAGCGGCTTTGCATGGACACGCTTCGAACCTTAGGAGCTTCGGCGGCGGTTCCTGCGGTTTTGGTGGGGGAGGCAGATGGAGGCAGGAAGGGGAGAAAGCCAAAAGAAGCGCCATAAGATACCATAAGCCACAAAGCTCTCATCCACTGGATGATTCAAGTTTCAACACTATTTTTCACGGAGCAATGCTTTTGGAGTTTTAAGGATTATGTGGTCTTCCCAGAAACCTTGCAGTTGTGTTTGCAAGGTGGGCCAACGCACAGCCAGTTTTACTCCGCTTTTTCGGTGGTCCGTCCATTTGTTGATCTGTTGATCGAAGGAACTGTTTTGCCCGAAGTCTTAAAGTCGACGAAGGATTCGTTCCAAAATCTGACGGATCGATCTGTTGTGCTCTCAAGTAAGAGAGTAAGTCGGGGAACTTCCAGAAAACCACGGAGTCGTTTGAGCAGATTTGGACAACCGACAGGGTGCAGCTTTGCTTCCGACTTCGCAATGGGTTTGCTCGTCCCAATGGTCCCCCCGCCCCAATGGTCACTCCGAACGCTCAAAGGAGAGGCAATGAGCACGCGGACTGACCAACTCTTAGAGCAGTATGGCGTGGACACTGACGAGGATTGTGGTCAGACGCTGCCCCTGGAATTCAGCCAGTGATCGGCTGGAGCACGAGCCAAATGCAAGTGTAAGTCGTGTATGAAGAAGGTATAACATTAGAATTAGAATACATGAAAGTTGAATAAGATGCCCGTCATTAGATGCCTGGTTTAATGCATTGTTTTTAACACAATGCCCTTATCAATCCTTTTGTGATCCCCGAGCGAAGAAAAGTCCTCGGCCAATTGGCTCGTCATTGCGACCGCGACAGAGTGGATGGACTGGAGCAGAGGAAGCGTCCAAACCCATGGAGACGTTCTTTGACATGGTCAAAGGTCCCAAGATCCTCAAAACTAATTGCCGGTGTGGCCGCGTATGAGAATGTCAGACCCAAAGATTGTTGGGAAGACACCGAATTGGTAGACTGGTAGACCAACGCCTTGGGCCCAGTTGGCTTATTTGTTACTAGTAGCTTCTTGTTACTACTAGTAAGGCACCTGTTACTACTAGTAAGGCACTTGTTTCTAATAGCTTCTTGTTGAATTCCAGTTTTGTCGGTTTCAACTCTTGAATACCAGTCTCACTCATCCACGCGAATCAGTGCTGTTGGAGACGCTCATCAGATCTTTGGCATCCGGGGCAGACAATCGTCCCCAAAGGAACTTACTCCAAAGGTTGGGAGCTTTACGAGGAGGAATTAGCGAAAGCAAGAGAACGAAGATGGTGAGCGTGGCGAATGCACGCCATTCAATACTAGGCAGGCTAAGCGGCTAAGCCTTTTGCAAGACTGCAAGCTTGCTTTTCAGGTTTAGACAGTTGAACTATCGTTCGAGTGCCACATGTTAGTGTGGGCGACAACCTGTTGCACCTAAGCATGAACTTATATCTTGTACGGAGTCCTTTTATAAATTCTGGTGCAATCCGGTGATGTTGGGCTTGCACATTCGCTTTCGAGGGTGTAAATCAAGTCCCAGTGTTTCTTGTTACATGCAGGGATGTGGGCACACCTGGACTTCCTCATATTCACAGGCTTGAAAGAGATGTGATACGTCAGTGAGACAGTACCGTTTGTGATATTCGAACCTTATGAGGCTGCTGGACCTGTACCTTCGGGATGGATTCCTTTGCCTGCTATTTTGAGGTTCATGCAGAGGTGCTGTACAGGGAGTTGCGTAGCCATGTCAAACAGGCACCCCCACCTCCAAGCTTTTGTTAAGTGTTACAAATACAGCTCGTTCATTGCTCAAAAGGGTAGCACACAGATTGAATTCATACGAGAGAAATCCGTGTAATTCAATGCAAAAACGCTGGTCACCCAACGTCGTTGTAAGAGCTTATTTTAGAGAAGGTCCAACTTTCCATTGCACGTGGTTCGCCTTTGCATCCTCCACTTGGGCGAAACATTACTGTACTGCAAGAAGTGTCAGTTGATTATGCCCAATCATTTGACACACATCACCAGGCATTCTCTCCCGGACTCCAGTAACGTCTGTCAAGTTGAGTGTAACGTCTCTGTCAGACATCCCACACTGACGGAGTCCACATGGTGCTCGATTTCCGGGGTTGAACCAACGACTCATCGAGTTGGAAGACAAAGAATCCGCGGTGGATCTCGGCGGATGAGAGCGCCGTTTGAATTGGATGGTAGTGAGCCCGAGGAAAAACTGTGGTGCCAAGGTGTTTGGGGGTTATTTCCTTTTGTTTGATGGTTGTTTTCACGATTATTTGAAGGATTTCTGGTGTTTGCATCTTTTCAGCTTGATTAAAGAGGGAACCCCGCAATGAACTGCCACTGGAATCACTGGACTAATAAGCATCAGACTGGTGAGTGATGCCAAAGCCACCATCCATGGACAGGGTCGAAAAGACATGTGGGAGTGAATCAACATCAATCATCAACACCAAACAAAAGCATCCAACATGTACAGACTCCCCTCAAAACCTCAGCTCAGGTGAGGATGTTTTCCCTCACCAAGGTCAGAACTCCTCCTGCGCCCAGGTTGGGCTCGCCAGACGAGGAGTTCTCCTCGCGCGTGGTGCTGCGGGGCGCCGAGGTGCTGGCCGAAGCCCTCACGAGGAGAAGCCGAAGCAAGCGCGCGCGAGGTCTGAAAGGAAGGGAGAGATATAAATATTAGTAAGCAGATATAGACAGATACTTATACTGTAGGTGTTTCTTTACTTCCTATGAAGATTATGAAGTGAAGATTGGTGCCTATTTTGATGTCTCCAGGGCAGTTCGGAAAGTGCACTAGAGAGAGTTACGAAAGCCAGCCTTCGTAGAAGAAGGCGAGTAGGGGGTCTGGGGGGGGTGGCCCGAGAAAGCACCACGTAAACTCGAAATTAGGTGGTGTTTAGGGGTGTGCGGAAGTAAGGTTTTTGAGGTTGTGTTGGAGGTGATGTTTTGTAATTTTTGAGGGGGTGGTGATGCAAGAAATGCAATTTGCATCATTTGAATCATCTGAACAGAGGCCGATGGTAACTAGTAAGGCTGGATGAGTCGTTCATGTCCAACGGGTTGATCAATGTGGAATTTCCGGTGTTTGCTGCATGCATTCCTACCCATAGATTGATTGTCATCGGTTTGGTTTCATTGTCATCAGTCATGTGTTCGACCCAAACAGTTGGATGGTTTGAAGATGAGGACATCCTCTACCACCTGAAGGTCAGGGTTATCCCCTGGTTGGTACAGGACTTGATCGTTTTGAGTGTGAGGCCCAGTTCAGCTTCCTGGCCTGGCGAAAGCCACTGTTCGTAATATAGATATCTAATCAATAGTCTAATCAATAAACACCCTTTGCCTTTGCCCCCTAAAAACCAGACAAGCCAAAGGAGACCACTGAGACCACCAATGATGCCGTGCGATGGAGTTCCCTCTCCAGCCGGAATTCTTTCGCTCAAAACGCCGTGCGAACTCGTCTGGTCTCAGGAGCGACTTGGACGGTGGGATCCGCTGGAACTGCGCAGAGTCCCTGGGGACGTTGGGAGAGGCGTGAAACATCCCGCCATTGGTGAACGAAAGGAGACGAAGGTCGAAGACACACGGAATTCACCACGAAGGTCGAAGCAGCATTCTGACGGGAAACATGTATGTTGGCCTACTTTTTACACTCTGACGCATTAACATGGAAGTGGAAAATGGCCCCTTGGAAGACGACTTTCCTTTACGAACACGGCGCTTTCCACTTCCTTGGAAGTGAGTCTGAGGGTTTGTATGGTTGAAACGTGTTTCTCCCCGGTATGTTGTCTTCCTTTTCTTTTTACCATTGTCAGCTCCATAAATATTTAGATTCCAACCTATTTAGATTTCTGTGTCAGGTTTTCCTCACTGTGGCAACCTCAAGGACCGCCTGTAACTTGTAACTGTCACCCACTTGGCCGAACACAAACCTGTTCTTTCTGGTTCACTGGGCTGTCCCAAAAGAGCCACCAAACCAGGAGCGACTGCTGGTTCTCAGATACGTCGAAAGAGTCCAATGGACTCGATGGCTCGGATGGTCAGATGCCTCTAACCGCTGCCCTGGCACCGGGTGGATGTCCAGACATGGCAGACGGCAGATGAGTTGAAAAAGAACACAAGAACGGTCGCAACGTGTCTCTTGGGCGATCCCAGGGTCTAGAATTTGTATGTATCACCGCCGCAGCTATTTCTGGTGGTTAACAAGTTTGGTGGAAACAACATTCTGAACGACATCTAAACGACATACCTATTCTATAAATTCTATATAAACATGTATATGCTTGGCCTAGATTGTATGGTGCTTTCCGTTTGTTAGATGGTACTTGATGGTACTTGCATTTTGTCCTCAATGATCAGCAGGCAGTAGTGGCAGCATGATATGCAAACCATCTAAAAAGGCGTTGTTTTTGTATTGCTCAATGTCTTCAACAACAGCTTCCACTGTAACTCAATTCCATGAAGTCGCAACACCAGCACACGACAGTCTTCATTCTGTTTGGCTTGGCTTGTGGATCCTCTAAATCGGTTTTCGTCCACCCATCGTAGCCCCTGCTCCAAGCAATGTGACATCCTCCAATCACCATGTCACTGGGAAACACGATTGTTTTCAGCCGGTCTTGAAAAGCGCAGTGACTTCTCCAGATGAGGGAGTGAAGATGATACACTGGATGCCCTGGTCCTATTCTTTCGTCCAGTTGAAGCAAACGTGCTTTTCTGGGTCAATGTGTTTCGCTTGGTTGTGAGGTTTGATCTAGTGCTGGGCGCATGACAGTATTTGGAGTGTGAGACTCTCCAACCACTGGGTTTTGCCGCTAAGAGCAGCGTGTTACAGCTGCTCTTAGTCTGTTCTGACAATCACGGAACCAAAGGATCGAGCTGCGCCACGGATTCAGTCTGGTCTCCGCATCTCCACGCAGTCTGGTCCTGCTCATTCACGGGTATTTGCTGTCTCCACCTTACGCTTATGTCATTTTCTTGAAGCATTCCGCTTCTTCATGTCTTTTTGGCACCCCAATTTCTTAGCCATAGTTGTTGTCATCACCTCCTGTAAGTTTTTCTTGAGAACCTTTTGTGTGTTGGAAGCTTCATTTGCAGTCCTTCCAGTAATGAATGCACATACATACGCACATATACGCACAATGATATGTTTTGTTTGTGCAAATTCTTTATATTTCCTTTGTGCAGTGAATCACTGCTTAACCTAGCTTGCTTAATCTAATTGCTAAACATTGCTAAATCATATATTACACTCTTGGAGGTTTCCAGACATCCTTTCCGAACACCAATCCACATGAATTCAAAAGGCGGCGGAGAAACATGAAAATACAAACCGAAGCAATCTGCATTGAGCAGTCTAACATCGTTCAGTCTTTCAAGTTCGCGTGGAACTTGACCGACTCTTGAGTCAGACCACTCTCAGCGTTCTGACTCCGATCTGTCGCCACAGGGAGAAGGATCTGGCGCCGAGGTTCGACAGTACATTCCATGGTGGCTCCGTCCACCTATGTTGAGAGGATCGTGAGGTGCCATGAGATTGAGTATACTCATCCTAATATGTGTGTTTTCATGTGTTTTCTTCTACTTCTCTTGTAGATTGCATCCTTCAAATCTTTCTTCTTCAAGCAAAGCTTCGCATTTTCTT